ACAAGGATGCGAATATTTGGCATTGTGAGTGTTGGCATTGTCTGATAACTGAAGAAGACAATTGACATTGTTAGGACATGGAACCAAAGATGCCATTGACTTTGATGGTAATAAAACATCCATTTCATCAAGCGCGCTGGACTTTTTGCTAAATTGTGTATCAGCTGTTGGATGTAAACCAGATTGTTTTTCAAAACAGATCATCAGATTTCGAATGGGTACTGGTTGGTCACCTGCGCTGACACGAATAAAATCTAATGTAGGTAGGTCAAGTTCCGTTTTACCAAAAGTATAAGAAACCGTCGATCGATTATACAGTGAATTTGGACCGGCGTGAGAAAGTGTGATCTTGCCAGTTGAACGTTGGATTTCGAGACAAAAAGTCATAAAATTATCAGTATTACATCCAACATAGAATGTATTTGAGCTAGCTGCATAATTGCTACTACTGACATATGTAGTATGCAAACTGGGAGAACCACTATTCAAATATGAAGCATCTTCTTGATACGAATCACCACTTGCCGTTGGTTTTTCGGCAATATAGCAAATAAAGCACCGTGACTTCAATGGAGTGTTGCCTGAATCATTTGATTGGCTCGAGAGAGTCAGCATCATATCTCCATTCATTACTTGCCAATAGATGAATGTGGTATTGTCTCTCGAAGATGCTGAGAGATCAGTGCGATATTGAGCAAATGCTTGTGATATCGTTAAAGGTAAAAGAATATGTTTAGTATAACCGGATGGTGGTATTGTCATTACAAAACCTTGAATAGATCTTGCTATTGAATGTTCATCGCGTAGACTAAATCGTGCGTTCAATTGCTTTACAACAGTTTCTTGATATATGGCTCGAGATTTTGATTTCGAACCATGTAGTCTTATTTGTGGATTGGTTGTACCGTCATATGGAATAGCAGTAATACGATCTTTGAAAAAACTATCAATGAGAGAATGTGCATCAGAACTAAGTGGATGGAATATTTCCTGTGGTATATAAATACGATCGATATAGCTGATTGGAATAAGTGGAGGTAGATTAGCTTCAATGCCTTCATACGAATCTGTCTGAGTCCAGTCATAGAGAATTGTTTGGAGATCAATGCTTTTAGGATTTCTAGTAAGGCTACAGCTACTGGTAGCTACCAATTGGAGAGCAGCTGCATATTCATAACCTGGAATAGAAGCATGTAATTTTGATTGATTGTATAGTTCAGTTCGTTCATTAATAGTATGTGGTCGAGGACCAAACCAGGAACAGCGATCAAATGTTTGTCCGTTAGTAAACGATGCTGCGGTTTGAATAGAGAAATTTGCATCAGGATGATGTAGAATTTCTCTTTTAAAAACAATAAATATATCTCCGAGGCGTTCATCCAGGTGTGGTCCGAGAGTACTGTAAATTGTTTTATCTTGTCTCAAAAGTTGATTCGATTGAAGTTGAAAAGATAAGTCTGTCACGATCTTTACTATATCGTTTAATCTTTCGAGATCTCCATCTGAGATTGACGGCGAAAGATTATTCATCATCTTTCTTCTGTTATCTCTCAATTTCGCTAATAAATTCGAATCTCCGGAACTGTTTTTTCCATATTTCTCTTCGATTAAAGCTATGATATATTCTCTGACATCTTTCTCTACTGATTTTCCTTTTAGACTCTCGATACGCTGTATTCGGTTGTGTTGAAGGACTAGATTGAGAAGAAATTTCGGGTTCTGAAGATTTTTCATATAATCTTGACTCATAACATATTGATGAAAGAGAATCAATTCAAATATGACTTGATTACATCGATAAACAGGTTGAACAGTTCGTAACCATCTGGCAATCTCATCTGTATTAGTTGTCGCTATCGGCGGTGTCGATCTTTGTCTTTCAAAATAGTGCTTAATACGTGCATTGCTATCTTTTTGATTTCGAACGAAATCGATTTTGTCATTCAGATCATAATAGTCGACGATCTCCATATCGTCTGATCGAATAGTATGCCGATATTTAATCATATGTTTGCGGTCATTACGATTATCACAATTTGTGGTTTCGCATAAACATCGTATATCAGGAATATTCGGATGTGTAAGTGAATTAAGATGATCTTCTTGCGAGAGTTTGTTACAACTGTGACCATCGGGGCAGATTTTACGAACTATGTGTATGAAGTTCTTCAGATGTTGCGAACGTGTATTCTCACAGTTGCGTCCGTGTGGACATACATGCGAAAACCGTTCAAAGTGTTGTTCAGCAGCAGAGGAAAGTGAACTGTTCTTTGATACTTTGATTAGCTCGTTGTGAAAGTAACAATGATATGGAGTAAATGGACAAGGAGAAGAGAATGGATGTTGAAGTTCAGTAAGATGCTTTGTATCATGAAAATTCGTGCAATGGTTTCCATCTGGACATGCAGATCGACAATGTCTATACGAATCGCAATGATGTTTGACGTTTTTCTGATAGTCCTTACATTTGTATGACTCTGGACAAAGCGGCAAATGACGGTATTCTCGTAGATGCTCTGCGTCCATATCTTGACAATTATTTCCTTTTGAACAAAAAGATGGATGCTCAAATTCTTGCCGATGTTTTTCGTTATCAATTTTTCGGCATTCACCACCATGTTGGCATCGATTTCGATGTATAAATGAGTGCATGTGAACCTTATCGTCTGATCGTGGACAATTACCGCTGTCAGATGACATATTGCATAGTGGTGGATGAGAAAACTCATGTGCATGATTCGGATCATGGATCTCGTTACACTTAGCTCCATTCTCACACGGGTATGAATCAAATATACAAACATCGCTTATGGTATGACCATCTGATAGAAATCGATAAGGACCAATCATCGTATTGGGTATGTTTATTTGTTTGACAGGTTTCACAATTTTTCCATCTAAGACTTGGAAAGGTTTAAAGTTACCTTCTCGATTAAGATCGTGACCAGTGTTGTGATCATCAATGACAGCGAATACAATCGATTTGAAAAAACCTGCATACTGTTCAATAACCGACAAAAAGAGTTGTGCAACATGGTCAGGTGGATTTTTAAATGCACCACAACCAAGAGCTGATAAAACCAGAGAGTCATGTTTATGATGATAAGCAATAGCAAAAATATTTTCGATCTTCTTTCTCGTTCCAACGGCATATAAAGGTGCAAACATATTGCCTTCCAATCGTGGTTCTCGATAAGCAGCCATGGCTATAGCACACACGTTTTCTAGTGGTTCATTCATATAAGCATAACCTTGCTCTTCTGATTGACGAAAGACAGTTACACCTGATGTATAAATGGCACCGAAATCATCCATAGGATAGATGCGTTTTTGATTGTCTATTCGATTTAATCGACAATCAGATGTGCAATGATAGCGTTCGGACTGTTCCCCGAAATATTCATCCAGTTCAATATCAAGACTTTGAAAATAGTTTGAACGTCGAAAAAGATTTTCTTCTTGCGCACCATCACCTTTTCTGTAACCCCCACCTGGAGTCGTCTTATTGGCCATATTAAGCAGAAGTGGCCGAAAATTTTGTTTGACTAAATCCTCATATACTACGAGACAATCTTCTCGAACGACGCTTACAGTGGTTTCTTTATATGGAGTCTTACTGAATGGCATCGTTTCACATTGTTCTAACTTCGAATTATGATCATAGACAATTGTTTCTAGTTTATTATTGAGCCACAATGGTACTTTTCGATTGCCAATCATATAGCTCTTTTCACGTATAACAGCAAGTGTATTTAACATAACAGTCATTCGTAATAAATGTCGTGTATTATCAGGTTGTGTACCTTTATGTCTGACTGAAGCAGCACGATCATTACCATTATTACGAGGATGTGGTGCTGAACGTTGGAATTCATCGAGCCACATCTTAGCATTCCATCGGTAACGAAAAGTGATGTGTTCAAGATTGCCAATAAATTGCATGATGTCAGGTTTGTATTTAGTCATTTCTGTCTGATACCACATCGCTTCATTGATCTCATGCTCCGTGATATTTGACGATTCATCATAAGTTTTCAGATAAAAAGTGTGATTGTCAATAAGGCAGGCTTTAAACGTTAAGCACTGATTAAAAACAGTCTTACTTGATATTTCAAGAATAAGATTCTCGCCATTAAATTTATGACCAACCACTTTACCAGCAAATATTGAGTGGTTAAAAATGTGTTGAAGATTAACTCCTTGAGGAGCTGGATGAACAAGTAAACGAAAAACCAATTTATTCTTTTTTGGTATTGATACACCGTCAAGATAGAGAGATGTTTTTGTAATCCATCTGTGTGCTTTCTTTGTGGCAATTACACATGCGGTGCGTGTCTCTTCATTTAGTTCAATATGAAGAGATGAAGAGGAGATATTGTGTTGTCCAATATCGTTTTTGATCCTTTCTTTCAAATGTTGTTCGGTGATTGAGCTAGGTATGTTTTCAAAAAAGCTGCAATCAGCACAATCATATATTTGAGCGGAAATGCCATTGATCTTGAACTTCTTCTTGATATTAGTACGATCGAATTGATCTGAGTATTTGAAGACAAACCGATAAATATCAGGGAATTGATCACAGAGTTGAACGCACGAAAGTGGCTTTCCATACATTTGAAGATCAGTCAATTGGGCACTTACTTCTTCTGCTGTTAGTGAACTCACATTTTCTTGATTCGTATTACATACGATGTATGAGACAAGCTCTAGAGTCTTAGCCAATGTAATCTTTACTTGTTTACCTTTCGAAACAAATGTGATTTGTCTATGATCGTTTAGAAGATGTCCTAGTCGGTCGTTCGAAACATAAATAATACCAAAACCCAATTCTGGATAACAGCATACATCGCTTCGTTCAATTGGAGAATCTTTTTTAATGCACCGGAAAATTTCGTTTTCTAATTCATCACCATTCTCAATATCTCCTGGTAAATCAGTGATGTAAATCTTGATCTTCTCCGATCGATCTGATGGATCTGTATTTGCAGATGATACATTTCTGTTTTGTGTATTGAAAGTACTCGGTACTCCACCATGTTGCTTCGTCGACTGTAAAAAATCGCCATACATATTTGAATTTTTATTATTAGAGTTTCCTACAGAAAAAAATAAATTTAGACTAGGGTATCGATTAACAACTAGGTTTTGATTGTTAGAAAGTCTCTCTTCATATATTATTCAAATGTTGAATTTGAAAACAAGGTCACTGATATTCTATTCTGTTGTCTATATACAAGGACAAATATATTCAGGACTCACCTATGCGCCGGTGCACTGGGGCCGATCCATGTTCATCTTGCTGACTTCTACCTAAATGCGATCCAAAGTCATCGTTGTCAACGCTACTGTGTCCGGATCTTACACTTGATGTTTCGGCTTTTGTCGATGCCGAAGACGATTTCAGGTTCTGATAGCCACGTACGCCTGAATTTTTGGTGTGACCTGCACTCATATTAGTCACTCCTTGTATTGAACAACTATAACTTCCTTTTTGCTCCTAGAAATGCGGCATTCTTTAATAACTGATCGCAGAATACGTGTAGATATCGCTATATGAAATACTTAGCACTTAATCATCCGCACAGTTGTGGTCAAGATGGGCTTAAAAAGTGAGAGGCTACTAAACTAATTTCTGTTGAATTTTTTATCTACTTCTAATACTAATTAGTTAATCTTGTGTATGTCATGTTCTGCATTACTCAACTCTCTGCTGTTTTGCTAGAACCAGACTCCGTTGAATCCTAATAATTTTGTTGAAAATATAAAATACCAGTTAATATCGACTGAAAAATGAAACAACAACTTATCTTTAGTTACCTTTTTTCGACGACAAAATGCAAATGATAGCGAGCTCGTTTTTGCTTACATATATTTACATGGATGATAAAGAGATAAAGAGATATCAGGTGTCTTACTCTGCTAAGAATATCGGCGATGGGTGTTTGTTTGGCAATGGGTGCCGATGTAGACGTTCTTGAGGATAGGTGTAGGTAAGGGTGACGGTGTGTATGAGTGTGGGTGACGGAATGAGTGTGGGTGTGGGTGTGGGTGTGGGTATGGGTGTTGGCGTGGATGGACAGGTATAGAATCTATCTTTAATTCACGACCTACACCTACCCCTCACACTCGCACATACACTCACCCCACACCCACACCTTGTATTGCACTGTCTAATAACTTTATAATAGTTCATTATTCTATACTTACGAAGCAGTATTGTCTACTGCCAACTCAACACTGATTACCATTATAGTTAGATATACAACAAAACTGTCAGTGGATAAAATCTTTGTATCATGAAGGATAGAAATACATTTCTTTAATTGTCGAATTGATTCAATTTCAATGTTTCACTAGCATACTTTTTCTATTATTTTATGATTAGAAATTTTAGCGTTGTTTCTAGGAATTTGATTTTGCGCAACTTGGAAGTAATTTTTTATGTTTCATCCTATCGACATCAAAAAATTAAGCAAAGTAAGAATCAATAGTGAAGCTAATATTTCCATTGGTCATAGCATTGCGTCATCATGAACATTTCTTTGTGGTTTCTATTACGCAGAGTTTTGAGGTCAAAAAATTGTTCTATACATTTTCCGTGGAATATTTTACAAATCTCTAATTATATCTTATATAGTTGTGTTCTCTTCATTAATTGAGGAAGCGGAAGATACTAACATGAATGGTTTGTTAGGATCTCATACAATACAAGAGTAGAAAAAAGATGTGCGTTACTTTTATGGTGTGGGTGAGTATTATTCGGTTAATCCACACACCCATGTAAAAAATCGATTATAATCTGATTTTTAGCCATTTTGTTTTACATGAGTAAAGATGAATCAGTATTGATGTTAAGCATATTCGCACGTTTATTTATTTAAATTTTGTAAGAAGAAACGATGAAATACGTAACTACCAAACAATACATTTGTCCTTTCGACTATTGCTTTGGCCGGGTGTACAGCCAAATGCACGATCGAATTGATCAAAATTGGATGTTGGACCGATAGCTCTAGAAAAATAATTAAATACCTGTATACTATGGAATCTAAAATAAAATTAGAAAAAAACCTGAACTGTCCCAGTG